TTCTTTATCTTATGCATCTTTTAGTAGTCGCAGCACACAACTTTTTAAAATATTAATGAGCAGTGAAGCGGTTTTGATAAAATATTTTTTCCAAGAATTAAAAATAAATGCAAATGCCAAACTACTTACTTTTCAGGAATTTCATTTTTAATTTTCGTTCTTTTCTCATTATGATTTCAGGACATTTGTATCACCCTGACATTTTAGATTTTAAACAATTGTTTTTTTATTATTTAAGCAGCTGAAAGACGTTCTCGTTGAAGAGCAGACTCACTGTGTCACTCCGAGCACGTGGAGCTCATAGCAACCATCAGACCAGCAAACACTGCAGTTTAACCCTCGGAGAGTTTAGGACGCATACTAGATACCAGAAAATCCTCGTCTAGCTCAGCAGATCATTCAGTCCTGCAGTCGTCTCTCAGGGTGTGTAAGATAGAAACACGTTCAGATAGAAACACACTGAAGCCAACGGGTCAGCAGCGCTCACGTCTCTGGGTTAAACTGCTAAGTTAACGTGTAGTCTGTACAGAGAAATATCTAGGTGCCCCAGGTTTAACAAAAGAGCGTTAATTAATTTTGGGAACATTGTTTGGTTTTGTTTTGAAATGTTTCTAAAACATTGAAATGCCCAGATTTCTTGCTTTGATTAAAACACTATTTAAAGGTTATTGCTTTTAACACATTTTATGTTGTTTGCTTAAATTGTTCTCAATGCAAAAATAAAACAACTGGTTTATTTTATAGCTGACTGTTGAATGAAGATCCCTGAGACAGAGTCCAGGGTACCCAGGGCGGTTGCTAGGGTGTTGCTATGCGGTTGCTAGGGTACCCGGAGGGAAGTGGACACAGCAGACACATCTTTTGCTGAGAATTTTGTCTCTCTTGACATCTGAGGTCGTCATTTGTATTCGTAATTTTTCCATATTTTTTTCAGTCAGTTTTTTAAGTCAGAAGTTTAATTCTCCAACTCCAGTGGCCTGTTTTCGTTCTTCTTGCACAATCTATGGCTGGACTTGTGTGGGTGTGATGTAAATGACGTGCTCATGGAGTGTGTGCGTATAGGCACTGATGGACCTACAGCAATCCTGAAGAACATCAGCCGTGTTTGTTTGAGATGACAAGCAAAGCTTGAACTCATAAGATGTGCTCACCATTAAAGCTGGATTCAATCAATAATGAGTCTGATGTCTTCAAACTGACTTGAGCTATTGGTTGAGCCTAAAGCATCTTGTGATCTTAGTGTCCAAATTTAGACTAATACTACACCAGGAACCATTAATTACTGCACAGGCACCTCATGAAAAGCATGTTATGATGGCTGAAGACCTCAGATTAACCCGTCCTGTTATGCAATGACCACATGACCTTGCTTTTGTAACCCAGCTCAAAGTGTGGTCAAAAACACATCTGAGACATGTTCTCATAACTCCTGTTGTGTGACAGGCAAATATGTGTTTTAATCTCTAATTACATGCTACATTATTACACACACTCTCAGAAATCAAGATACGAAAGCTGTCACTGGGACGGTACCTTTTCAAAAGGAACACCTTTGTACCTTATTACCGTATTAGTATCTTAAAGGTGCATTTTAGCACCTGAAGTGAACATATCAGTACCTAAATGATGCATAATAGTAACTTTTGAAAAGGTGTCGCCCCAGAATTAACTTTCTGAGAGTGCAGATGATAAACCGCAGCATCATGAACCTGTTATTGGTGAAACGGGTCACAGATGTTGCGTCGTTCCGTATCGCACACTTCGTCCTAGAGTAAATATTGACATCTGCGCAACCAGAGCAAACCTGTGCACTGAAAACAGCATAATTAATACAGGCGAGCACTGTGTCAATGATTAACTCCTCTGAGGTCATCATGTCATGGTATAAAACACGGCACACACGCACAGAGAGCAGATCTGACATACAGCAGCAGATATTGGCTTCAGCACATCTCTGGTTCTGCAATGAGAAGGCCGTGTGTGTTGGTGTTGTTGGTGAGCGTCCTCGTCTGTCCGGCGGATCTTTCTCCGGTGATTGGGCCTGAACCCATCCGCTGCGCTCCATGCTCTCAGGAGCAGCTGGACTCCTGCCCCGCCGTGTCCTCGGACTGTCCGGAGGTGCTGCGAGAGCCGGGCTGCGGATGCTGCTCGTCCTGCGCGCTGAAGAAAGGAGAGTCCTGCGGTGTTTATACGGCTCACTGCGGCACCGGCCTGCGCTGCGTCCCGAGACCCGGCGACCCGCGGCCGCTGCACGCTCTGACCCGCGGACACGCCGTCTGCACTGAGGACGACCGCACAGAAGGTGCCTTTCTGATTAGTGAGTGTGTGCTCAACAGGTCATTGGTCACAGGACTCATGTTTGTCTCTGATTGTGTTTCTAGATGAGCCGGACGTCACGTCTGACCAGGGCTCCCTGCATTACCTGCTGGGCCTCAACCGGCCGCTGGACCCGCGGGACGCAGCGGAGGCACAGGAGAGCATCAAGGCCAAAGTCAACGCCATCCGCAAGAAACTGATCCAACAGGTACTGAAACCAGCAGATCCAGTAATGGTTCAGGAAAGAGCTTCACATTTACTGGCTGAAGCTGTTGAATTTCTACACTTTTAAAGCTGTTTGCTTTGTATTTGTGAAAGGAATAGTTCACCCAAAATGTATCTACACTCAACAAAAATTAGGCCTAAATTTAAGATTTATGTATTTGAATTGCATATAAAATGTCCATCCTTTTGGATTTCACAGTTTTAACATAAACTAATAAACTAAAATGTTACATATTTGTCACAGGGTTATTAAAGTTAAACTACAACTATATATAAAAAAAATGTTAACTGAAATAAAATAAGTTTAGGCATTTCATTTGATTTCAGTTAACATTTTTTCTCAGTAGTGTAACGATGTAGTTAAATAACAAACTGAAACGGAAATAAAAATTTATAGAAATATATATACACATTTAAATTTTTTTATAAATAAATAAAAATGGCAAAAACACAACAAAATTACTACAATTTTAGTTACAATTAACATTATTTTGTTTAAAAATGGTTTTATAAAAAAAAAAATCTAATTCAAAATATTTAAAAAACACCTCTATACTAACATGATGTTTTACTGTTTTGTCGGTCATACATTAATCATATTTCTGCACTCAAAACATTTTTTTTATTAATTAATTAAAAACTCATGAGTTTATTATTTTTATCTATTTGATTTTCAAAATCCATTTATTCAAATTGCTTAGAATCAGCATAAATATGTTCATTGTAAAATCAATAATTAACTTAAATGTATGAGACAAATTAGATTTATTGATGATAAATACATAAACCTGGTTATTGTATATTTAAGACACATTTAGTTTATTAGGACTATTACAGAAATCTGATCAATCAATCAATCAATCACAAATGGGTGGGTATGTAATTCAAATACGCAAGTCTTAAGTGTTGGCCTAATATTTTTAAGGTGTACTCGCCATCTGTGTTCCACTGCTGTGGTTCCGGGGTTTGTACTTCTGGTTGAGCCATGACGTGTTTCTGTGACTTCGCTGTCTAGGGTCCGTGTCACACTGAGCTGCACGCGGCTCTGGACCTCATCGCTGAATCCCAGCAGACGTTAGGAGAGAAGTTCACCAGCTTTTACCTGCCCAACTGTGACAAGCACGGATTCTACAAGGCCCAGCAGGTGCATGTCTGTCCTGACTCTGAGACAGCACACTAACTCTGTCTGTCACACTAACTCTTCTCTGTCTGTTAGTGTGAGACGTCTCTGGAGGCCCAGCCTCCCCGCTGCTGGTGTGTGTCGTCCTGGAACGGGAAGAGAATCCGTGAGGATCTGGCGTCTGATTCCCAGTGTCCTCAGGAGCTCACGCACTGAACTGATGCTGCAGCTCACTTCACTTATGTTTCCTTCTGTACCGTATTTATTCTTATGTATGTGACTAATATTTATGACCTAGTTTTTGACAGAATCCTACCAGAATGAATATGAACTAGAAACAATCACTAGAACTCCACCTCAGCAAGATCCCGATCTGGGTCTTCAGAAGCTCAGAGATGAAATCTTGACGCTCCACGTAAACTACGTTCGTTCTACAGCATATGATATTATGATTCTGCCTCCGTCTGTGTTCGCTGTGGCTTTTCCTGACCACTTTAATTCAGTATAACTGTTTTTGCACAGCATAAGTTATTAGTCTGTATCTGTTAGTAACTGATATTAGTCTGTAAACAGTTCCATTTGTTTGTGAGCTCAATGTTGATTGCTTTATGATATTTGACTATGTATTTAAACCAAATGTCTACCTCACATTAGACATGATGTCTTTATGGACTCCCTGAATGCATTTAACATATTTAAGAGTGCTGCTGTATTTATTCTGAAATTATTATTTTATTGATTGTTAATGTAATGTATATAATCTCAAGAGTTTGCTTCAATAAAGCGTTAGAGACTGTACGGATTGCACAGGAATCTTCTGTTGATCAGTGTTTACTCTAAGATTTATATTACATGATCTAAACACAAATATAGCCTACTGTACCATTGCAATTATCATCAAAAGTACCGCATCACATTATCACTGCTTACAGTATACAAGCAGACATACGTCTTAAACTGATGGAAAGCAGAAACATATGTATTATATCACACTATATGTATCTACATATCTAATCTTAAAAAGTTGTACTACTGTGACACACAGAATAAAGATCCATTTAAAAGTATACACTTTTAATCAACTTATCAATACCATCAGATAAATTTACCAAAATAAAATTTTGTTTTCTTTTCATGTTTCACATGCTCATCTTCTTGAACAAGAACTATTATTAGAAGTGCTAGAAATCTCTGTATCGTTTTGTTTACGTATCTTTGCTCTTTATCAATGTTAAATAAACGTTGATTAATAAATTAATGCAGTGCATTTTTGGCCAATTTCTATAAGAACTTTTATAATGACTTTCATTACAGATATGTAATTGTTCCTAAACTAAAAACAATTAATTCCCTATAACTGTTAAAACCATTATAATTTCTGTTATAACTATAATTTCATTATTTTTTACAGATAATGAAATGTTTGAGTTTTATCAGTTCTGTAAGGATTTCAAGGTAAACAGCTTGAGAGAATAATTAGAGTAGCTGCACGCTATTTATAACATTTCCAGCTAAATGTAGTCATGTGCATGCAGCGAGTTAATAAAGATAAAGGTGACGGTGAAATTTTGGTCGTTGTGATGAACTCACATTAGTCATGTTGTTATGATGTATATGTTCTGGTCCGGTTACGTCTTCATAGTGTAACTGCATCAGCTGGAAAAGCTCTTGGGCTGTAAAAGCTGCTCAACGAGACCCCAACTCTTTGGATGTTTTGATCTGCTTAAGTCTGTATTACCAGAGCTTCAGTGAGCTAATCCTGAAGTTAATGTGCTGAGGCGTGAAGATTTCTGAAGATGAGGGGTGTGTGCAGAGAAAAGATCTGAATACTGCAGAGGGAGGCGTGTGATGGGACGAGTGTCTGTAAGCAGCCCGCTGCTGTCATTAAAGATGAAAAACACAGCTGTCTTCATTAGACTGGTCCTCTGAGCTGGGTTTGGTCAGGCTCAGGATGCTTGCTAATGTTCTAACCCAACGCTGTCCTGTTTCTCTGTAGGTTGATCAGAAGATGCAGGTTGGTCTGCTAACCCTCACTGTCTCTCCACTCTGTTCCCGATAGTCACTCGTTATCATTATTATTACATTCTGAAAGAAGAAGAAGAAGATGGCGGTGGTGTTGCAACAATATATAGTGATATTCTCAAAGTTACTCAGAAGACAGGATACAGGTTTAACTCATTTGAAATACTAATGCTTAATGTTACACTGTCAGATATGCAAAAGAAATCTATCGTATCTCTTGCTCTGGCTACTGTGTATAGACCACCAGGGCCGTATACAGATTTCCTAAAAGAATTTGCAGATTTCCTCTCAGACCTATTGATTACTGTTGATAAAGCGCTAATTGTCGGAGATTTTAATATTCACGTTGATAATACAAATGATGCATTAGGACTTGCGTTTACTGACCTAATAAACTCTTTTGGAGTCAAGCAAAACGTCACCGGGCCCACTCATCGTTTTAATCATACGCTAGATTTAATTATATCGCATGGAATTGATCTTACTGATATAGATATCGTACCTCAAACCGATGATGTTACTGACCATTTCCTTGTATCATGCATGCTGCGTATTACTGATATTAACTATATGGCTCCGCGTTATCATCGGGGCAGCACTATTGTTCCAGCCACCAAAGACAGATTCACAAATAACCAGCCTGATTTATCTCAACTGCTCTGTGTACCAATAAGTACACATGAACTAGACGAAATAACTAGCAACATGGGCACTATCTTCTCTAATACATTAGAAGCTGTTGCCCCCATCAAATTGAAAAAGGTTAGAGAAAAACGTACTGCGCCATGGTACAACAGTAATACCCATTCTCTCAAGAAAAAAAATCGTAGTCTTGAGCGTTCAGACACACTCTCTCTGTTTAAATCTAGATTAAAGACACATCTCTTTGGCCAAGCATTCAAATAATGCATCTCATAATCTTTTACTGCAGTTATATCTGATCAAATGCACATTATTATTTTTAGTTTGGGTTAAACAAATCAATTTTGCTTGGTTGGAACAGCAGCTACACTAATTATGTCTCTATGTGTTTCTCTGTTTCTGCTGGGATTGGCATCCCGTGGTAACTAGGATTTACACAAGCTTCAGTCTGGATCCAGAACACCTGAGAAGAGATGATGCAACCCCTCAGAGGACCTCAGATGATGCCAACCCTGAAACAACTTACACAACTACCACATTTTGCTATAAGTTTGATTGCATCATATAATAATTGCTGTTAATAGTGTTCATCGTCTGTTTGATTACGTCTTTAATTGATTTTTCCGTACATTTCTGCCATATGTACATTAACTGACAGTCACCACTGATAAACTACCACTAAATATTGTAGAAACTTAATTACTAACTTTGCAACGATTTGTATGGTAAAAAGCGCTATACAAATCAACTTGAATTGAATTGAATTGAAGATGAAGAGGCATAATAGGTCAGTTTCTTTCTCATTATTTTTGTTGAGAAATGAACAGCAATAAGAGCAGATCTTTGCTCAGCCTCTTTTGATCAAACACACACACACACACACACACACAATCGCTCTTTCTCTCTCTCTCTCTCACTCTCTCTCACACACACACACACACTCTCTCTCTCTCTCTATCTCTCTCTCTCTCTCTCTCTCTCTCTATCTCTCTCTCTCTTTCTCTCTCTCTCTCGCTCTCTCTGTCTCTCTCTCTCTCTCTGTCTCTCTCTGTCTCTCTCGCTCTCTCTCGCTCTCTCTCACACACACAAACACACACTCTCTCTCTGTCTCTCTCTCTCTCTCTGTCTCTCTCGCTCTCTCTCTCACACACACACACACACACACACACACACAGAGCAGTATAAGAGGCAAGCGTCTGCTGCTCATCTGCAGAAGGAGAGACTCCAACAGACGAGGAGTGTCAGTCTGACAGACAGAACGCAGAGGTCAGTGACTGGAGCTTTATTTCTGCTGTTTTTACAAAACAGATATGTTGATACTTATGCTGCTTTTGTAATAGGCAGATAATTAAAATATTACATATCTAAAATGCCTTATTATAAAGTAACAGCTAAAACTTTTTCTCATTTACAAGCTTAATTCTATTTATTTTGGAGTAAGTTGTTATTCAGTTCATGCTTCATAACTGTAATAAATAGGGGGGGGGGGGGGGGGGGAGAATGATATAAAATATATCTGCATAACAATGCATTAAGTCAAGTCCAAATTTGTCTTTACTTAAAGAAATCTTCACAAGTCTTTACCTTTGTGTGTTATGGAGGTTTGGAGAACAGCGTCAGTGTCTGCTTTCATCTTACGCCTCAAATACTGAGAATAATGAAGTACATAAACTAACATTAATGAACAGAGTTGGTAACATGTATTAAGCTGGATTAAAATGAAATTAAATGTGCAGTCAAAAATGCATGCAAATATATTGTTTGCACTACATCTAAATTAGCTGCAGACGTATTATTTATAAGTCTCACTCTATGCTGAAGTGTTACTTGACAAACTGTCACATCACATGATCCTCAGAAATCAGAAGAAAAGTGGCTGTTAGTTTTTGTGGGAGTCTTGAACAGGCTTCAGGCGGATGTAACACTATCCGATCTTGTATTTCCACTCAGATCTCGCAGATTCTTCATCTAGCTCTCAACTCTAGCTTTGTCTTGGTTTGGGAGTCTGTTTGCATTCTAGTATTGTTAAATTGAGCAAAAAGTGGCATGTGCAAAACCTCTGAAAGTCTTGTGTTGTTTCTTGTGTTGTTTGGTGGAATCATAGTTTATTTTCCAACAGTGTTCTGTCAAATTTAACTAATGTAAACAATGTTAAAGTCTGAATGTGTCAGTGTTGTGGATTTGGTGAATTTAGTAAATAATTGGGTATATATTCTTATAGATGTCTTATAATATCCACCCCATATGTGCTGTGCAGCTGACATCCACACAAGCCCAAAACTGATTCTCCCAATTCAGCAGCAATTAGGTTTCAAAACATCCTTAATGATTGTGTTACTAAAGCTTTTGATACTCAACCTTTTGATGCCTGAGCATTTGAGTAGTTTATGTATTCATATGAGCTAAGAAGCTTTTGATTTACTGCCCCAGGACAGAGAAATGCATTACAGAAAATTTGACCTATGTAACTTATTTTCTTTGACCCAAGATGGTAACAGAACACTTCACTCCTTCTGTTTTCTTGACATTGTGAAAGAGCACAGACTGCTGCCAAAGCATTTTACATAATGGAAAAAACTCAAGCAGCCTTTAGTCCTGAACATTTTCACCAAACCACAGGAATAATGCTGCTCAGTGTTTGTCATCAGTCATGCCAGTCCTGCTCTATTTCAGTCTGCAGTTCTGCTCGTGTCAAATACATGCAACTATATCGCTTCTCTCATTTCCTGCACAGAAAATCCTTTACATTTTATTTGGCAAAGGCTTCAGTCAGCGTATACCATCAGAGTAAAAAACAATTTTAGTGTGCTTTTTAAATTCATTTCAAAGCAAAGCTGCATTAAAGATGCTAAATCA